CTGCCCCATCCCTGGGGGGGTCACACAATAATCCAGAGCCCCACCGGGCTGCTGGGGCGTGCGGTTCGGAAGAAGCAATGCCCGTGGAGAGGCGGCCACGTCTCCCCTTTCCCTTTTATTCCCATCCTCACCACGGCTGTTCTGAATCCTTGCCTGCTGCCGCAGGTGCTCATCCCCCTGCTCCCCGCTTTCTGCCTGCTCCTGCCATGACCGACTCCTATCCCCTTTTTCCTTCCCACCTTTCCTCCCTTCTTTCCCCTATCCATAGGGGAAATTTCCCCTTCCTGTGTTTTCCAGCTGCAGGGACAGAGAGGCTGAGGGTGTGCAGCTGGGGGAAAAGGAGGGGCAGGGTTTTAAATAACCTGCTTATTTGTGGGGTGCGGTGTCCCCCTGTACTTTTTGAGACAGCAGCAGGAAGCGGGGTCGGTGTTGGTAAAAAAAAAAAAATTAAAAAATCAGATATTGGAAAACCCGAGCGGGTGCAAGATTTCCCCTCAGACTTTGGGGACGGGATCTCGCTGACGCAGCGGGGTCCCTGCTCGCCCACCCGCGGTGGGCACTGACCCCAGCCCGGCCGCAGGTGTGGTTCCAGAACCGTCGGTCCAAGGAGCGGCGGATGAAGCAGCTGAGCGCGCTGGGCGCCCGGCGGCACGCGTTCTTCCGCAGCCCCCGCAGGATGCGGCCCCTCGGCGGCCGCCTCGACGAGTCCGAGATGCTCGGCTCCACGCCCTACACGTACTACGGAGGTGAGGCCCGGCCCGGGGGTCCCTGCCCCGCCGCCCCTCCCGTCCTTTGTTCCTCCCGCGCCGTTCCCCGCCCGTGCGCACACGCGTGCCCGCAGCGGCTCCACGCACCCCCCGGCATTGCGGGGCCCCTCTCCCGCGAACAAAGCCCCAGCTGCGGGGCTTTTGTCCCCCTTTCAGGCCGCATTTGTTCCAATTACCTCCCGGGCCCGCAGCATATGGAAGGTCAGTGCGGCCCCGCTGCCCCCGCGCGGCGGGACGGGCGCAGGGAGCCTCCCCTGACCCCCAGCTCCCCGCAGAGCCCCCCAAAAGCTGCTTTTGCAAAGCCTCCCATCTGACCAGGAGCTTTCCAGGCACACCTTGTTGCCCTGCGGTTAGTTTCTAGATCCATTCCAAGTTGCTTAAACACACATATGAATTCCACATTTTTTATATATTTTAAATGCATTTTTCCTATTATATATAATTTTCCCCATGTACATATATATTTTCCCATTATATACATTTTTCCCGTTTCATATTTATTTTTTGCCTATTCTTTTTATATCCCTTTCCCTTTTATATACATATATATAAATATATGTACGTATATTTCCCCCATTCCCTTTTTATATACATATCTGTATTTCCCCCATTCCCTTTTTATATACATATCTGTATTTCCCCCATTCCCTTTTTATATACATATACATATATATAAATATATGCACGTGGTGGATTTTTTCCCCATTAATTAAGCACTAAACAGAGCCCATTTTCCAAGCCCCCTCACCTCTCCCAGCCCGGATTCGCTGCCCTCCCTCACTCCAGGCTGGGCAAAGACAGGGCGATGGGCACTGCAGCTCTTAGGAAGGGTTCATTCCTCCCAGGTTGGATTTAAATCCCACCCGCCCTTTGGGTCCCCCTTTGGGAGCCAGCAGAGCGTTTTGGGGGGGACAGCACAGGGCTGGTTTGGGGCGCAGCGGGATTTCGGGAGGTTTTTAGCCCCAGGAGACCAAATCCATCCATTTTCCCCCCTCCCCACAGATTACCAAGGTGACTACTACGGGCCAGGAGGCAACTATGACTTTTTCCCCCACGGGCCGCCCTCCCAAGCCCAGTCCCCGGCCGACTCCAGCTACCTTCAGAACTCAGGACCCGGCTCCACACCCCTGGGACCCTTGGAGCCCCCCCTAAGCGGACACCACTCCTCAGAAAACCAAAGGTACACGGATATGATCTCGCACCCCGACACGCCGAGCCCCGAGCCGGGGATGACGGGCTCGCTGCACCCCATCCCGGGGGAGGTCTTCAGCGGGGGGCCCAGCCCGCCCTTCTCCATGTCCAGCAATAGCGGCTACAGCGGGGCTCTGTCGCACCCCAACCCGGAGCTCAGCGAGGCGGCGGTGTGGTAGGCCCGGCCTGGGCACGCGTGTGCGTGTGTGCAGGGGGGAAACCCCCCCTGGTCCCCCCAGCCCACGCGTGTCCCCCTCCTGGCCCGGCAAAGCCCCGCCGCCGATGCCAAAGCGCATCCCGGCACCCGCCCGCCCTCGCCATCCCCGCACCCCCCTTGGGGACCTTGGGGCCACCCCGCTACCTCCCCCCGGCCGGCACCTTCCCCCCGACACTTTTGGGGGGGCAAGGAGAGGTGCCCAGCCCTGCAGACCCCGCCGGCGTCGGGACCAGCGCCTCTCGGACCAAAGCTGAACTCGCCTGGACTCGGGTCCCAGCGCCCCGGCGGCTCCGGGCGCGGGCTGCGGCAGGGCTGCCCCTGCTAATTAGCGTCCTTTTTAATTACCCCCTGCCACAGGAAGGGGGGGAACGGGGAATAGCAGGAATAACCCCCCCGTGGCCCCTCCCTGCCCTCATTTGTATTGTTCCCGTCGCAGCCCCGAGGAGAAGGTGGGTTTGGAGCCGGATTTTGGCGGTGGGGAGGAGGGGGCTGCGCGGGGCCAGGCCCGGGGCTGCCCCAGGACTGGCTGAGATTGGGCTCCCACGTGGTGGAACAGACACCAGAAAGAGGCAGAAACAGGAAAAAAAAACACAAAACCACAACGACAACAAAATAAAACCCCAAACAAACAATAAGCCCCAGAACTAAACCAAGCCAACCACAGCAGCAGAAATTTCACCCGAGCCTCGACGCCGAGTCCCACCCCAACGATTCCCAGAGGCTCCGCCAATTTAAGGATGTATTATAGTTTTTGCTTCTAGTTTCTTTATTTTGTATAAAGGAGAAACAAATAAAGTATGTTTTTGTGTTTACTGATTATTTATTGTACTTTAGTCATCGGAGGCTCCGAATTTTTTCTATTTTGAAGGCAGGGAGGGGATGGCACCGGGGAGGGGGGTGAGAGCATAGAGAGAGGGGGGGAATAAGAGGAAGGAGAATGGAAAAGGAAAGAAAAAAAGTTGTTTTCTGAAAGCGTCGTGGGTTTCCTGTCCCCGCTGCCTCTTGCGGAGGCTGTTAGTGTGAATGGCTCTTGTTGTTCAATGTGAATAAAAAACCTTTTAGTTACCTACTGTTCGGTCACCTGGTCCCTTTCATTTTATTTTATTTTAATTTGTTTTAACACAAGCCCGTGGGAAATGCTGGCCGGGCTCCCCCACCGCCCCCAGCCCTGCGTGGGGGAGCAGCTCCCGCCGCTGCCCGGGTCACCTGCACTCGGTGACGCCGCTGTACCCCCACCCCGACCCGGCTCCCCCCAGCCCCAGAGCCCCCCGGCACTGGGAAGGGGCACAGCACCCAGCTCAGCCCCTTCCCCCACAGCAGACAGCACAGTTCCTTTCTCCTGGGGGCACCCAAGACCCTCTGGAGCAGCCCAGGGGCACCTGCAGCCCTGCTGGCAGAGCAGCCTCGGGGGGACACCCCAAGTGGGGGTTCAGCAGTGCCACCAGCAGATTTTGTCCCATTTTCCCTGGGCATAATGGTGCCAGGAGGAAGGGGGGTCTCCTCCCCAGCACCCCAGCTCACTCCCCTTCTCTCCTGCTTTCTATCCCTGGAGATATAAAAATAAAAAGTCCCAGGCAGGCTGCAGCTCTGAACTAATATTTAAAATGCAAAATCATGGCAGAGTTTTTCACTCCCCCCCCACAACCCCCCCGCTCCTTGTCTTGCAGTAAAACGATATAAACAGAATAAATTACCTTCCCTTGCTGGCTTACGAGAGTCCCTCTCTCCTGACCTGAATTTTAAGTCCTGGCTCGGTTGTAGCACGGAGCACCGATGATTTATGGAAAGCCAGCCACATCTCTGCATATTTTCTCTGCTCAGCCAAGTGGTGGAATTTATCCTTCCTTTACCATTACTGGCATTAATAACGGGGTGGCCAACGAGCCACGCTGAGCCCCGAGCCAGGAGCTGGGCCAGCACAGAGCCTGGGCTTCCCTCAACCCCCCAAGGAAAACACCTTCTCCCCTTTTCCCAAACGGGGAAACTGAGGCAGGAGCACATCTGGCTGCTCCCCTGGGCTGCAGCACTCCCAGGCTGTCTGTGTGAGCAGGCAATGGGGAATTTTCATAAGGACAGGGTGATGTGCAGGTAAATAACCCACTCACAGCAGCATTTCGAGGAGTATGAAATGGTCACTCACTGGGTGAACACTGGCTACTATTATTATTATTTTATTAATTCAAAATTCAAGGCACCAAGCTGAGGGTTGTTTTCAGGCTGCTGGGACACCCCAAATGTGAGACCTGGGCAGAAGGGGCTGCGGGAGGGATTGGGGATGATGCTCCAAGCTCCAGCTCCCAGGCTGGAGGCTGGCAGGGGGATGGCACTCAGCAGGAGCAGCCATCAAAGCAGGGCAGATCCCAAGGGAAAAGCCCCTGGCACAGAGGAGCTCTGCAGCTCCACGGGGTGCAGGAGCCAAACCCGGGGTCCCATCACCCCAGAGGTGCCAGGAAGACAGCAGCTCTCAGGATTCCTGCCTGTCTCCAGCTGCAGAGTGACCACAGGGCACCAGCTGGGCCATGCCACCCTGCTGGGTCACCCCAAGCCCCACAGCCAGGTCCCTGCCACCCCAAACCCCACCACCAGGCCCTTGCCACCCCAAACCCCACCACCAGGCCCCTGCCACCCCAAACCCCACTGCCAGGGCACTGCCAGCCCCAGCACTGCCCCTTCTGTGCTGAGGAATCACCACGGTGAGCTCCTGACTGCCCTGATTCCCCCCACCCCGAGCAGAATCATTGGAATAATTTCCTTTTTAAAAGCTGTTGGGCAAACATCAGTGCTATTTGGTTCTGTTTTTCTTTTCTTTTCCTGACCTTCTTGCCTTTTTTTTTTTTTTTTCTCGGAAGGGGAAGGTCTGCAGAAGGTGGGAAGTAATCAGGTTTTGGACCTGGGATAAAAAATAGCTGGAGGAGGTTGGGCTGACTCCTTATAATTAATAGTGTGCCTCGTAATAGGATTCTCCAGCCTTCGGTGCTCCCTGGAAACACCTTTTTACATAAGGTATTGCTCACGATGGAGTGGCAGAGCTCTGATTTATGGGGGTTTGGCCTCCACGAAGCACCTGGGAAGGTGGCCTGGCCGGTGGGAGGTGTGGGCAAGGGGCTGAGGGCAGGAGGGGCTTCTGGGGGGTGGCAGGGGAAAGGGCTTGTGGGGGGATGTGGGTGAGTGCTCCTGGGGCTGGCTGCATCAAAAGGGAGGAGGACAAAAGGGTTTGAGGGCAGCAAAAGGCTTCTCTCCCTGCCCAGCACCGCAGGGCACAGGCTCAGGGTGGGGCTGGGGGGCACCAGCAGGAGCAAAACCCCGCATCACCCGGAATGGGAGCAAGGAGAGGGGAGAAGTGTTGGGAGGACACAGAAAAAAACCCCAGGAGGCGCCACAGGAAAGGGCTAAAAGCAAACACAGCGCTGCAGAGTGGAAATGTGGGAGAGCAGGAGAGCTGGGGGAAAGGGAGAACGGGAAAAGAGTGGGATGGGGGGAAAAGGGGGGGCGTCTAGGATGGGGTATATCCCCTCCACATGTTAGACCACCTCGGAGCCCGCAGGTGTTAAACCCGGCCGGGGATCCCCGCGGATAAATCACCGTGAATAAATCACCGTAACAAGAGCGTTGTTCTCGTCTGGCCACAGCCAACGTGGCAGGAACGGGAGAGGATTGTAATAATTAATAATCATTACAATAATAATGCATAAAGACAGTAGCAAAGTAATTAGTCAGAGAGGGAGCGTTTGCTAATTGAGGAGGGGAGCTGCAGCCTGAGCAGCCTGGGGAGGAGCAGGGAGGGGGCAGAGCAGAATACCCGGCATGTCCCAGGGGAAAAGAGGGATGTGCGGGCCCCAGTCCGCCCTCAACCCTGTGCCTCAGTTTCCCTCTCCTGCATGAGCGCTGCCTGCTGCAAAAGGCTGCGGGAGGAGCCCGGCCCGCGTCCCCAGGCTTTATTTCGGTTCTTTGGGAAGGAAAGCGAGCAGAGCGTGCCCGGCGCGGTGTCACTCCAGCCCCAGCTGGCTCTTCAGGGCCCGCAGCTGGGCCGAGTCGATGTTGCTGCCGCCGCACAGCACGAGCAGCACGGGGCGCAGCGGGCTCGGCAGCCGCCCCTGGCCCTGCAGCCGCCGCAGCCGCCCCGAGTACAGCACGGCCAGGGCTGCCCCGCACGCCGGCTCCACCAGCAGCCGCTCGTCATCTGGGGACAGAGCGGGGACACTGCGGCACGCACCGAGCGGCAGCTGGCCCGCCACCCCGACCCCAGCAGCACCGGGGCCCGGCGGTGTCCCTGTCACCCTGAGCCCAGGGTCCGGCGGTGTCCCTGTCACCCTGAGCCCCGTGCCCCCAGAGCCCGGCGGTGTCCTTGTCACCCCGACCCCAGTGTCCCTAGGGTCCGGCAGTGTCCCTGTCACTACGACCCCAGCTCCCCAGGCTCCAGCGGTGTCCCTCTCACCCTGACCCCAGGGTTCAGCAGTGTCCCTGTCACCCTGACCCCAGTGTCCCCAAGCTCCGGTAGAGTCCCTGTCACCCCAACCCCAGTGTCCCCAGGGCCCGGCAGTGTCCCTGTCACCCTGACCCCAGTGTCCCCACGGTCCAGCAGTGTCCCTGTCACCCCGACCCCAGCAGCCCCAGGGTCCGGCGGTGTCCCCGTCACCCTGACCCCAGTGTCCCCAGTGTCCGGCAGTGTCCCTGTCACTCCGACCCCAGCTCCCCAGACTCCGGTGGTGTCCCTGTGACCCCTGAGCCCAGGGTTCAGCAAGGTCCCTGTCACCCCGACCCCAGTGTCCCCAGGGTCCAGCAGTGTCCCTGTCACTCTAACCCCAAATCCCCAGGCTCTGGTGGTGTCCCTGTCACGCCGCTCACCCAGGAACTGCTGCACAGCCCGCACGGCCTCGGCGTCCTGCACCACCTGCGAGAGCACCTGGCACTCCTGGGCACACTCCAGCGCCCGCGCCGCCACCGTCTTGGCTCCCAGGCACGTGGCCACGCTGGGACAGCAGGGGACAAGGCGGTCAAGGCGAGGACACGGCAGCGAGCCCTGCCAGCTCGCTGCACGCCTGGCTGCTCACCTGGTGATGTCGGGCAGGGTGACGAGCCGGCCGGCTTTGAGCGCCTCGTGGAAGCTGTGAGCCCCCAGGGTCTCGGCGGCGATGATGGGGACATCGTGCCAGCCCACCTGCTGCAGGCCGGCCACCACACCGGCCAGCAGCCCCCCGCCACCCACCGCCACCACGATGGCACCTGGTTTGTCCTCCAGAGAGTCCTTCAGCTCGCGGACCAGGCTGGCGTGACCCTCCCTGCAGGGGGAGGGCAGGAGGATGCAGCCGGGGGCTCCCCCGGGTTCTGGGGACGGGGAGAGGGGACAGGAGCTGAGCCCTGCAGCACTCACCACACCAAGGGGTGGTCGAAGGGGGGGATGATGACCCAGCCCTCTGTCTTAGCCAGCTCCTGGGCTCTGCTGTTGGCATCATCCCACACCTGGGTGGGGAAAGGGGGGGCTCAGCAGGGCTCCACAGAGCCCTCACAGCCCCGGGATGTGTCCTTTGTCCCTGAGGGGCTGGGGGACACCAGAACGGGTGAGGGCTCTCAGGGTGACCCTGCAGTGACGCCGGGGATGCAGGAGGGGGACATTTCGGGATGGGGTTTGCCAAGCACCAACGAGTAGCTGAGGCCAGGCTCAGCCCTCTCCGCACCCCCCAGACCCCGCTTTTGGGGGTACCTTGCCGTAGACCTCGACCATGGCCCCCAGCTGCTGCAGTTTTCGCACGGCGGTGGGGCCGCTGCTGCTGGGCAGCACCACGGTGATGGGCAGGGCCAGCTCCCGGGCCGCGAACGCCGCCGCCAGACCCGCGTTCCCTCCTGGCACAGGCAGGGCTCAGCGGGGCTCGGCCCCCCGCGCACCCCCCGGCTCCTCGGGAGCATCCCCCCAGCTCGGGGGGGAGTTACCTGAGGAGCAGACGAAGTGGCGGCAGCCCTTCTTGGCAGCCTGAAAGGCAGCGGAGAAAGAGGGGAGGGGACGGCTGTGTGCCCCCGCTGTGCCCCCAGCGAGGGCAGGAGCAGCCCTCGCACACTCCGTGCCCACACTCACATCCTGGCACAGGTGCCCGATGCCCCGGATCTTGAAGGATCCCGAGGGCTGGACGTTCTCCAGCTTCATGAGGACCTTGGTGCCCACGGCCTCGGAGAGGGACAGGCTCTCCAGGACGGGAGAAACGACGTGGAAGGGCTTGTGGCCCCCGGGCGGCTGGGCTGCCATGGCCTGGCCGCGGATGCTCTGCCAGGGAGAGGCGGTGCAGCCACCAGCTGCTCCCACGGGTCCCCCCGCAGCCCCGATGCCCCCTCCGGGCTGACAGGGCTGTCCCTAGTGTCCCCTCCCACCTCTGGGATGCTCTCCCTGGAAGATCCCAGGTTTGTGCCACCCCCTGCTCCACCCCGGTGTCCCCAGGTGCCCGTGCACGGCCTGGGATTACCTGGGATGTCTGTGCTTGTCCTCACCCACCGCCGAGCCTGCGCGACACCAGAGGGACAGCTGACGTCCGAGGGGCCGTGCCGGGGTCCCCAGGTGGCCGTGCTGGGTCCTGCAGCCGGGCAGGGGGCAGGGGTCGGACATTGCCCGGCTGCTGCTGTTTGCTCAGCCCCGGGCGGGTTTGAAGGCTGCGCTGCTGCCCAGGGTGACCCGCGGGGACAAACACGTGTGGCACCGCCAGCCAGGTCCCGGCAGCTCTCACATGCCCGGGAGACGGGATGTGGGCTCCCAGGAGATGGGGGAAGAGGAAAGGCAGCTCACAAATGATTTTGGGGCCCCTCAAGGGTTTGCAGTGGGTATTATCTGGTCCGGACAAAAACACGTACCAGATGATTTTAGGATTTTGGCGCTGAACCCCTGGTGTAGCCAGGGCAGCCTGCACACCCCAACCCCCAGCCAAGACACCTCTCATTGCCTCCAAACGAGCCATCACACCCCTCTGCTCACCCTGCCAGGCCCCCACCCCATGGCAGCCTTTCAATCCTCCCCCAAGTTCCCATCTCCAGCTGGGGAAGACCCCCAGGATGAGCCCCTCTGCTCCAGCTGGCCATGCCAGGCACCCCACAGACAAAGATCCCTTAAGGAGGGGCTGTCCCAAGTGACCCCGGCAGAGGCTGGCCCAGACCCGAGGGCCAGCAGCCCCCAGGCAAAGCAGGCAGAGCCCCCTCCCTTCCTCTGGGACCCCTCTTGTCACCCAGCCCTGGTGGCACCCCAGCCCTACCTCTGCTCTGAGGGGCTGGTTCTGTCCCAAGCCGGAAGGGAGGAGGAGGAGGAGGAGGAAGGAGGGATCTGGAGGAAGGGCCAGCCCTGGCCCGCAGCCCCGCAGCCGCAGGAGGTTCCTCTGTTGCTCTGGCCAAGCTGGAGCAGCCTGGAAGCAAAGGGCACAAGGAGTCCTGGGGGAGGACACTGCACTGGGAACCCCACACTGTGCCAGCTCTGCCCCAGTGCCAGGCGCACAGCAGTGAAACCAGAATACAGGATGTCAGTGCCCTGCCCCAAACTGGGCTGCAGAACCCCCCCAAAGCTCTGGGGCTGCCCTGCTCCTCATGGAGCTCATCTTCGGTGCCAACAAAACATCCCTGCTTGCTTCCCACACCACCCCTGGGCACAGCACTGCCCCTCTGCAGAGCCACTCTGCTGCTTTGGGGACATAGGGGCCTTGGAAAACTAAAATTTCTTGAATGGGGGCATCGGGAGGGACACAGCTCCAGCCCCTCTGGGGCCTCTGGAGTGACCCCCCCCACCTCACAGTAGGCAGAAGCTGCAGGCACTTCCAGGAGAGTGGGACAGCAGCAGGAGCTGGGAAGGGGTGGAAGAAGCTGTCCCAGCTCACAGGGGTGAGGCTGGAGACCCCCTTGGGAGGACACCACACTTCAGCTCAGCCCTGGGGTGCTCCAGGGTCCCTTTCCACCCCACACCCCCCTCCCTGTGCCTCCTCTGCTCCCCTTTGGCTCCTTCCCTGCCATGGGGAAGGCATGCCAGGCTGTCACCTGGTCACTTCCCTTGGCCAGTGTCCCTGGCTGACACTGTGGCAGCAGCTGGGATGGTATTTAACAACTTTTTGTTTGTTTTTCCATGTTTAAGGAAACAAAAGAAGGGAATCAGAAACACTGTGGCATTTCCAGCATGCCCTGTTCCTCCCTGCTGCTCCCTCACCCAGTGATGGCGATCTGTCTGGGGAAACTGAGGCACGGGGGACCCCAAAAGCAGCCCCCCCTTCCACAGTAGCCCACACACCATGGGGACATGAGAGGACACAGGCTTCCCTGCAATCTGTCCCAGCCCAGCAGGGTATGGACACCCCACCTTCCCCAGGGCACCCATCCCTGATTTTGGGGTGCCAGCACCCCAACAGCCCAGAGCTGCTCCCTCCCACCCCCCCGCAGCCCCCAGGGGCCCCAGCCCCGGTGGGAACCTGGCACCTTCAAAGCTCTGCCGAGCCTCAGCTCATTAATCCCCCAGTAATGACCTCGTTATTCCTAACGAGCCAGAGCGGATCAAGGGAGCTGCCTAAGAGGATTTTGCACCGCGGGTTTTGGGGACGGGGCACGCAGGTGCCAGAGGAAAGGAAGACAAAAGGCATGGGGATGGTCTCCCACTCCTGAGGGGTGAGCAGTGGGGCTCCCCCATTCCACAGCCAGCACCCCAGAAGCCCTGGCCTCACTGGGCACACACCCAGCAGAGAAGCAGATCCCCCTGTTAATGGGGAGGGGGAAAGACCCCTGAGTGAGCCCAACCCTAACAAAGCCACCAGAGAACCTCAGCAGAGGGCAAAGCACAGCCACCAGCACAGAGCACTTTATTATTTACCACAGCCCAACCAGCTCACTGCCCTCCTGCCCGCGCTGAGGGCGAGCCCCAGCCTCCCGGGATGCCCCTTTTCCAGGGAGAGTCCCCCCAAACCAGGCTTCAGCACCCAGGGAAGAGCCTGGAGAGCCCCACAGCAGGGAGGGGACACGCTGGGCTTGTGCAGCACAGCCAGGACCCTGAGAGGCAGAAAGAACAGGGGGGGGACCCTGTTACACAGAGCAGAGAGCTGTCACAGAGCTGAGCCCCCCACGCCCCACAGAGGGATCCCCCACAGGACAGACGCCCACGGACGGACAGACGGACGGGACCAGCGCCTGCTCAGTCCCAGTGGACCTTGACTGGGGGGAAGGTCCAGAGGTCGGGGTGGCCCATGTGGAGCAGGGAGCTGCAGGGGGACGCGCTCCAGCGGAAGGGCGGCACGTCGTCCCAGGCGGGGCCGCTGACTGCCACCAGCGCGAAGGCGGGCACCATGCCCGAGGAGGTGACCTGCGCGTGGGGACAAACAGGGCAGCGAGTCAGCACGGGCTGCAGAGCCCCCGAAGAGCCCCCGCAGGGCTGCCTGGCGGGCACACCTTCATGTCGATGCCGCCGTGGCAGCGCTGGCGCAGGGCGGGGAAGGGGTAGGAGCCGTTGGAGGGGTTGAGGTCGGAGCGGGCGGAGATGGCGTTCTCGGCGTTCTGGGGCGGGTCACAGCCCCTGCACCGCGACAGCGGGTCCTGCAGGTAGTTGTTGGACCTGCAGAGGGGAGGGGACAGAGCCACGGTGAAGATGTGGGAATAGATCACGGAAAGTTCCGCGGGGGAAGAGCCGGGTTTGGGGGTGGCCAGCACACACCGCATCAGGCGGATCATGGAGTCCAGGTCGCGCACCAGCGTCTGGTTCCGGCGGAAGATCTGGGCACGAGGGTTCTTGTCATAGGTGAACCAGTCCCCGTATTTCCTCACCAGCTCCAGGTTCCCACTGGTGTTGAAGATCTCCTCGAAGTACCTGGGGTGGGGGAACCCAGCAAGCTGGCACCAAGGGGGGGCAAGGTGGGCACTGCTGCCCCTCTGTCCAGGCGGGCCACGGGGAGGGATGGCACTCACGGCACGTTGTAGCTGGCCCAGTAGCCCTGCTGGTACAGCAGCTTTGTCTGATCAGCCACCACCACCAGGCCCCTGCGCTGGGAGGAAGAGCACTGGTCAGAGCAGAGGGGGAAAAGTCACTGGGGGTAGTGGGGGACATGCTGGGCTGGGGGGGAACACACACTGGGGGTCCCCACAGTGGGGTTCCCACCCCAGCCAGAGGTGCTGGGCACTCATCACCTCAGCACCAGCACCCCCAGAGCCTTCAGCCACAGACAGGCCCCACTGCCCTGTGACCCCCCATGGGGCTGGGCAGGCACCACCCTCAGGACCTTCCCAAACCCACAGGGATGGGATAGGAGACAGCAGGGGCTCAGGGAGGAATGGAGCCACTCACGGGATCTGCTCCAGCACTGTCAGCACGCCCGGCGCCGGGCTCGCTCTGCCCGGTGTGAAGGCGTTGTAGTCCACCACCATCCACTGGTTGTTGTACCTGGCATGGAGAGCAAGGAATGCATCCCTCTGGCAGCCTGGGCACCCTCATCCGCTCCCACTGATGCCTTAGGTTTGAGCTTTTATATTTTTCAGATTCTGTGCTGCTTTAGTGTGTACTTCTGAGCTTCATATTAAGGGATAGTGAGCTCTCTTCCCAAAGTAGGGAGACAAAACAATTCCTTCTCTATCTTGGGACCAAGGACAAATGATCCAAATCACAGGGCCAAGAGCATAAACAATGTGGGCTGAGGAGAGTAAAAAAAGAAGGATGGGACTGCATAACCTAAAGCTATAACTGGACAATTAACTCCAAGATGCAAATGGACCAGAACTGATCCAGGTGAGAGACCCCATGACCAGTCGTGCATTTTGTGACCATTTTGGTTCACCCTGGGTGTAGCCCTGGCTGGGCTCTTGTGCTGCCCAAGGTGCATCCATTGAGGCCTTTTAATAAATCCCCACTTTATCCTTTAACCCTGTCTAGCCCCTGTTCTAGATCAGCCTTCCCAAGGCACCACCATCCTCCAGGACCAATTCCCAGCCCACCCCACTCACGTGCCGCTGTTGAAGCGTCGGAAGAGCGCGGCCCACTCGGCCCCGCTGCGGGCCAGCCTGTTGGCCACGATGTTCCTCAGCCACTCCAGGACGCTGCCCCGCGGCTCCACGTACTTCCACAGGGCCGGGTTGTTGTTGCCAATGGTGGTTTCCAGCGTGACCTGCAGGGCAGGGAGCGATGGGGAGGGCAGCAGGGCCGGGGGGGGGTGCCTGAGGAGCAGAGCCACTCACCAACCCGCTGCTGAGGATGTAGAAGTCATCCATGGAGAAGATGGTGCCGGGGTAGGAGGAGAACACCTGGACGCTGCCAGGGATCTGGGACTTGCCTGGAGGGGGGACGCAGAGCATCAGGAGGGGGCTGTGAGGAGCAGCCCCCCCAGCCCAGCGCACGCACCGCCGGCCGAGGCGCGGAAGGGCAGCGTGTACTTCTTGATGACGCGCAGCATGGCCTGGTAGGAGCTCCAGGTGTCGTGGGCCACCAGCAGGTCCCGCTGGCCCGGCAGCAGCTTCAGCAGGGCCGAGCAGGAGCCCGAGCCCAGCACGCGCTGCGGGGAGGAGCGGTTCAGGGCTGACTCCAGGTCCTCCAGGTCACCCCCCAACTGCAGCAGCCTGGGGGGAAGCAAGGCATAAGATGTCAGCTGAGGGATGCCCCAGGCCTGCAGCTGGGCTCTCTGTCTGTCTGTCCATCTCCACCACACCCCAGGGCAGGCATTTATGCTGGCAGCACCCTGGTAGCATGAGCAGGGAGGAAAGGGGGAGCACAGCAGTGGGGAAACTGAGGCAGGGGCTGTGGGGGGAACCCACCACCCAGCACATGGGGTGGGGAAGAGGAGAACCTGCCTTGGCTCCGACCTGCCACAGCAGCAGAAGACAAATGCCCAGAAAAGGTGAACAAAGTAGACTGGGAGTAGAACTGGCTGTTCCTGGACATGCAGGAATGCAGGAGTGCAGGAATTGTCCTCACAGCACTTCAAACCCTGGGACAACCCTCCCCCACTCTCTCCCACCTCTGAGAAGGAGCTTACAGGAAGCCAAAGGGTGCCAGGGAGATCCTGCCCCTGGGGAAGTCCAGGCGCCCGTTGTAGCTGTCCTCCAGCCCCTTCAGCTGCAGCAGGGCCAGGCGCACCTGGGGACAGGGGACAGAGCTGGCACCTGGCTCCTGCGGGGAGTCAGGCTGACAGGGTTTGAGGGATGGGCTCCCTCATTCCCCCAGGGGACAGAGCAGATCAGTTGGGTCTCAGAGCTGCTGCAGAGGCACGGGGGGAAGTGTCACTGCCAGCAAGGTCATGACTCAGCACCCATGGCCGAGAGTGATAAAGCCACCTCCTGTGGCACCCCAACTGCAGCACGACAAAGTCAGAGTCACCTCTGCTCTCCCCAGGAAGGAGGATGACCACATCCCTGTCATCCCACCTGGAGCTCGGCCAGGACAGCTCACTGCCCTGTACTCTCCTCTGGGTTAAAGGCCCAGGAGGACCCAGGGGGTTCCCCGGGTGGGGGTTCCCCATCCTCACCTGGTGCCAGTACTCAGTGTCCTGTCCTTTCTCCATCTGCTCCTCCATCCAGGCCAGGTTGGCCTCCAGGTAGCCGCGCAGCTTCTGGCAGTACTCGCTCTCGTACTTGAAGGGGCCGCAGTAGCCCACCATGGTGTTCATCCAGTGCATGTACATCAGCTGGGGGACAGGGCCAGCTGTCACCGCTGGGCACAGCCCGGGAGCCAGCAGGGCACGCAGTCCTGGAGGGGTTCCCCTTACCTGCTCGGTGACGGCAGCCTCGGCGAGCCCGGCAGCGTAGGCCTGCAGGCTGTCATTGTACGAGGCGTTGGTGGCCACCTCCAGGAAGGCCCAGCTGTGGGGACACGGGCACGGTGGGTCACGGGCACGGCTGGGACCGGGTCACGGCTGGGACCGGGCACCCCACCGAGCATGGCTGCCCCGCGGCCACCCCATCCCCGCTGGGCTGCGAGCCCCGGCCCTCCTGTCCCGTCCTGTCCGGCCCGGGTCGTACCCGACGTGCGGGATGCGGTCATCGAGGCTGGCCCAGGCGACGGCGGCGGGGTGGCGGCCGGGGAGGACGCGCAGCCGCTCGGAGCCGGGCTCCAGCAGCACGGAGACATTGCGGGGCACCGGAGACGAGGCTGCGCCGGCCGGGACGGCGGAGAGGAGCGGGGACAGCAGCGGGGACAGCAGCGGGGACAGCAGCGCAGCCACCAGCAGCGCCCGCGGGGCCGCCATGGCGGGCACACCGAGGGGCGGGGCTTCGTGGTGACCACGCCCAGCGGCGCCCCGTTATATTGCTGGGGCGGGAATGGGTTGGGGGCGGAGCGTCACTGTGGCCACGCCTCCATCAGAACTGCCGCGCATCGGCACGGCCGGGTTTGGGGGCGGGGCGTTGTATGGGCCACGCCCCCAGAACGACGCCCTGTATAAACACTCCACAAGGGGCCGCGGCTTGGGGCGGGGCTTCTGGCGTGGCCACGCCCCCGCAGCTCCGAGGCGTGGGGACCCCCGAGACCCCCTCAGAACTCCCCCGTCCCCCCAAGGCACCCCACGGCCGCGCTGCCGTCCCGCCTCTCCCAGCCCCACGTTCCTCCTCCCCGCCTTCGGGGCACACGCGTGGACCCCTGGTGTGAGCTGTCACAGCCCGGCCCCGGCGTGTCCCCGAGCTGGGGCAGGGCGAGCATTCGGGGTGCTGCTGCTTCCCTCGGGCCCCAGAGGCGCGGCGGCCCCGGCCTTGCGCAACTCCCTGCGCCTCTCTCTGGGGGGAAGGGCAGAACGCAGCCTGGGGGAGGAAACGGAACCAGGGTGGGAAATGGACCATTGAATCCATGGGTTCTTTGAATCCATGGGTTCTTTGGATCCCATGAGGGTCCTGGGGCTCCGGCCGTGAGGGCCAGCCTGCACCCCACAAACAGCGCACGGGGCACGGCTGAGGCTGGGTGTGCTGGAGCTGGGCTGTGCGGAGAGCAGCCCCGGCCCCTCTGCGGGTGTGGGGCCGCCGGCCGGGGCTCTGTGCCCCGCTGCCCAGGCTGTCCCACACGGGACACCCTCCCGGCCGCGCCGCGCCGGGCCCGCCCGTTCCAGGGGCTCACCCGTGTGGGGCGCAGCCCTCAGGGCGGCTGTCCCGGCCCCAGAGCACGGCACGGCGCAGCGGGCCGCCTGTGCCCCCTCAGGGCGGCTGTCCCGGCCCCAGGGGCGCGGCACGGCGCAGCGGGCCGCCTGTGCCCCCTCAGGGCGGCTGTCCCGGCCCCAGGGGCACGGCACGGCGCAGCGGGCCGCGCGTGTCCCCTCAGGGCGGCCAGCCGCGTGGGAAAGCGCCGCTGCCGCTTTAAGGGCGGAGGGTGGCGGCTCCTTTAAGGCGGGGGGGCCGGCAGGGCTCGGCTGCCCGCGCTCGGCAGCGGGGCCGCGCCGACACGGAGGGGCCGTGCCGCGGCTGGGGCTCCGGTACCGCCATCCCTCCAGCCTTCCTTCCTGCCATCCCCGCCCGGCATCCCCACCCCCGGGGTCCCGTCCCCTCCCGTCCCCTCCCTGCCCTGCGGGTGCCCCCGGTGCTCTCCGTGGGCTGTGGGTGCCGTTTCCCCTCCCTCCGCTCGGGGTGGCCCCGGGCTGAGCCCCCCCGGCGGGGCCGCGGCGCAGCCTGCCCGCGGGAGGGCTCTGCTTTTTATCCTGTTTATTATTTTTAGCCTTCGTTACAATTCCCAATTTTATTATCGGTTTTTAACGCCGCCCGGGGAGCGCGGGATGGCGCTCCGGGGGCAGCCCCCGCTCCGTGTCCCCGGGGAGCGCTGCCCGTGGTAGGTGTCCCCCGGGGCTGTCCCCGCCACGGACAGGGCAGCATGGGGCAGGGGGCCCCGGGGCCGGCCGGGGCGCTGCTGGACGTGGGGCACACGCTGCCTCCCGCCGGGGATGCGCTGAGCCACGCACCGGGCCTGGATGTGAGTCTGGGGGCTGCTGCGCTGGGATGTGCGGGGGACGCGGGGAGGGGTTTTGGGTGCTGCCGGGGTGGTGGGGTCCCCTCCCGTCCCTGCTTCCATGTCCCCGCCATCGCAGCAGGGATCTCACCCGGATTTCCTCCGCTGCTGGTTTTCTCATCCGAAAACCTCGCTGCCTGCCAGGCCGGCTCCTTCCCATGGCCCGGGGTGGGTGTGGGCTGTGTGGGGACAAGGATGGGCTGGGGACAAGGGTTTCCACCTCTGCCGGCCTTGGCACAGCCCTCGACCCACGCACGTGTAGCACAGGTGGGGAAACTGAGGCAGGGCTGACAGTGACCTGCCAGAGCAGCCCCATGGCAGCGCCTGGGGGGCAGTGAGTGGCAGTGTCCCCTCAGGGTGGCCGTGGCAGCCTCGGGGTAGGCAGTGTCCCCTCAGGGTGGCCGTGGCAGCCTCGGGGTAGGCAGTGTCCCCTCAGGGTGGCCGTGGTAGCATCGGGGAGGGCGGTGGGTGCTCGGGGGGCCCCGGCCATGCCCCCTCCCCTCTCTCCGCAGTGCTGGGAAGTTCGGGAGCACAACAGCTCAGAGTGGTGCCACTTCATCCGGAGCAACCCCGACTGCCGGCTGGACGGGGGCTTCCTCAACTACCTCGATGGCGTCTTCTGTGTCTTCCCGCCCCGGCTGCTGCCCCTGGCTGTCACTCTCTATGTAAGGACGGGAAAGGGCGGTGCTGGGGATGCTCTGCTGGGGGGCCGTGTGGTGGGGACCCCAGTGACCCCTCTCTGTGCCACCCCTGACCCCACAGGCTCTCTGGCTCCTGTACCTGTTCATCATCCTTGGTGTGACAGCAGAGAAATTGTGAGTGGCCCTGCAGAGGAGGGGACTGTCCCTAGAGTGACCAGGAGCCCCAAGAAGCCCCTTCACTTCTCTGTCCCCTTTTCTGCCCTTCCAGCTTCTGCCCCAATTTGTCAGCCATCTCCACCAACCTGAAGCTGTCCCACAACGTGGCAGTATCCTTGCCAAATCACAGGGGCCTCAGGCAGGAGGGATGTGGGCAGAGGGCAGGGGAGGTGACCATGACAGGGTCACTTTGTGTCCCCTTGGCACTGTGCCAGGGGAAACCCATTGGGAGGTGACAGTGGGACGAGTGGTCATGTGCTGCCACTGGACAGGAGTACACAGCACCCGTGTCCCCAGGGGGAGGAGGACACCAGGTCTTTTCCTTGACGTCCCCTCTCCATGGTGTCACCTTCCTGGCCTTTGGAAACGGGGCCCCTGATGTCTTCAGTGCTGTGGTGGCTTTCTCTGACCCCCGGACAGCGGGGCTGGCCATCGGGGCCGTCTTTGGTAAGGGCACCCCAGTGCCGTGTCCTCACGGGGTGATATTTGGGGCTGTGGATGAGACAGTGCCCCTGTGCTGGCAGGTGCCGGGGTGTTTGTGACCACGGTGGTGGCCGGGGGCATCGCCCTGGTCAAGCCCTTCACGGCCGCCTCCAGGCCCTTCCTCAGGGATGTCATCTTCTACATGGTGGCCGTCTTCCTCACCTTCGTGGTCCTCTACTTGGGCAGGATCAGGCTGGGAGAGGCTCTGGGTGAGCGCTGTGGGAGCTGGGCATGCTGGGGGCAGCCCGGGGGTGCCGTGACCCCCCCATCACTCCCCCATCCCAGGTTACCTGGGGCTCTACGTGTTCTACGTGCTCACCGTGGTGCTCTGCACCTGGATCCACCGGTGGCGGCGTGGGGACGGGCCGGCCCCTCCCGGAGCCTGGGAGCCAGGTAAGGGCTGCCCAGCTGGGATGGGACCCCGGTGTGCCGGGGTGCCCTTCCAGTGCCCCTGCCCGCTCCTCTCCCCTCCCCTCCCGGAGCCTGGGAGCCAGGTAAGGGCTGCCCAGCTGGGATGGGACCCCCGCTGTGCTGGGGTGCCCTTCCAGTGCCCCTGCCTGCTCCTCTCCCCCACAGAGATGCCGACAGATGTGGAAGAGCCGGAGCCCTCGGGCACAAACAGTGGGGACTATGGTACGTTGTTCCCTGTGGGCTCAGGGCTGGCTCTGCTCCGTCCTCGGGGGTCCCAGAGCCCCCCAGGCTGCTGCAGGTGTGACTGAGCCCATGGAGTGACAGCCCATGGGGCAGGGGAGCTCCCTGGGGACACACAGGGAGCCCCCAGCCCGCTCAGTCCCCGTGGCCCCTCTCAGGGGAGGAGTACCGGCCCCTGCTGCCCTCCCGGGACTCCTCCCTGCGCATCCTCGGCTCGGCCCTCAGCCCCCTGGACTACCGCAAGTGGAGGAGGAAGCCCTGGTACTGGCGGCTCTTCAAGGCCTTCAAGGTGAGTAGGGGGCAGGAGGAGTCCCCCAAGGGGCAGCCCCATCCCTGCTGGCCCTTGGGGCTCTGTCCCCCCGGGGCTTTGCAGTGGGGAGGGTGGGACAGGGGCAGGTCATGGGGCACCTCGCGGGGTGTCCCACATGGGTGTCCCCGTGCCAGGTGCCCGTGGAGCTGCTGCTGCTGCTCACCGTTCCCGTTGTGGACCCTGACAAGGATGACCTGAACTGGAAGAGACCTCTCAACTGCCTGCACATCCTCACCAGCCCCCTGCTCTGCGTGCTCACGCTGAAGTCAGGCGCCTGTAAGAGCCTGGGGCAGTCCCAGCTGGCAGAAGGGGACAGGACTGAGAGGGGAGCCCTGGGGACTGCAAGCACCCATCAGAGCTGGCTCCCCATTGTGGGGAGGAGGGATGGGCAGGGAGGAGCCAAGCTGTGTTTGCAGCTGGATGCACCCTCACAAGGCTGGGGGGCTTGGCCCCCAGCATCCAGGTCCTGGGGGGAAAATGGAGCAGGCCTAGCCTGCCTGGGGAAACTGAAGCAGAGAGGGGAGCAGCTCTGTGAGGAGGCAGGGTAGAGGTGGCTTTAGCTGGCAAGGCTTTACCCCCACCTCAAACCTGGTGAGATCCTGTCCCAGCCTCTCCCTCCTCTCCCCGTGTGCAGATGGGCTGTACCAGATCCAGGGCATCTTTCCAGTCTGGGCACTGGTCACACTGGTTGCCTCTGCCCTGGCCCTCATCATCTTCATCACCACAAGCAATGAGGAGCCACCCAAGTATCACTGTGTAAGGTGTCCCCCAGTCCTGAACACCCACCAGGGACCAGCACTGCCTGCTCCAGACTGGGCTGGGGGTCCTGGGGCAGAGCAGGAGCTCTCTCCCAGTTCCCAGTGTCCCAGGAGGGATGTCAGGAGGTGTGCAGGGTCCTGTGGGCTGCACACAGGGACCAGCTTGCTCCTCTTGCTGCCAGGTGTTTGCCTTCCTTGGCTTTTTGGCCAGTGCCATGTG